CCGAAATACCCAGATCTCCAGAATCATCAAGGATAAGTTAGAACCTTTCAGAACCAAACTGCTGCAAAACAGACCTTTTGCAACACGTTTCTCTTGAGTTTCAGGACTTATAGAGCCAGACTGGAGAGAAGGACTGCCTTGATGAACGACTGAGACAAAGAACCCCTGCTGTGCCCTGACTACAGAACTGCCACTGGATGAAACTCAACCTTTCCAATGGGCATGGAAAAAAAGGTTTGCAGGTCTGGCATGATTAGGGACAGAACAAACAACATGTCTTTTTAAGATGTGAATCCTGTCACATGTTTACTGATGACAATGCTAACAGCATGGACTACATGCTACGCTACGCTACAGGAATATGTTTTGAGCTGTTGCTTAAGCTTTATTTCACCAAAGGGTTAAACACTGATATAAACATTATTTGGCCAAATAATGTTTTATTCACCTCATGGATTTGCATTGTGAATTGGTCTGAAAAATTCAAATTTCTCTAAATTAGTGAAAAGCTAATTTGATCAGATCCCAAATTCTTCCAGATAAACTTTGCTTTTCAAACACAAGATCCATCTTAAACTGTAATCTGGTTTCCGACCATGTTCCCCTTCCTCTTTGTACATAGTAGTTAGTTTTACTAGTCCTAGTTGAGAGTTTTAAACTGAAATATGTTTGACTTGGAGCTGAATGATTTTTGTTAATAAAATCTTATATTTTGAACAGAAGTTGTGGTGAATTTATTCCATGTAGGTAAAGAATTAACTTTTTGACCATGATTAGAGCTTGAATCACTCTTTCATCTATTGTTCTAACACACAGTTAGTAGGACTGTGTGTCATAGACAGTAAATAACAGCTGAAATGATATCTGATTAAATAAGATATTTTACCTCCCCTACCGGGGAGGGCAATAAACATCTTGAAGTATCAGAAATATAAATTCCCAGTTGGCTGGGAATTGAAAAGAACATAAAAATCACAACAGTAATAACTTTCAGTTTCCTTCTGCAGATTTCCCTCTAGAGGTCACACCAACAGTAGCCTGATTCATGACATGACAGCGTTTCATGTAAAGCTAATGACACGTTGGTGTTTTTATTGATCAGACAGCTGCCTTCATACAAATAATCTCCGCTTAGAGGCTCATTAGGACCCACGTAAAACAAAAACAACATTAGTGTTTTAAAAACAGCAACATTACTCAACTAATTTATTTTTGATGAAGCCTAAAGAGAAAATCCAGGATATTTGAAAAGGCAGCAGTCAGATGGACTCTCAAAGCTCAGTACAGGGATTTCCAGGCCTGCAGCTGCTCTGAATCCCCAGGAGGCTGCAGAGAGTTTGGAAGCAAATCAAACATCACTGCCTCCAACCCTCCCCCAAATCCATCTTCCACTGCTGCCAACCTCCGGACCTCGGCTAACCCCCCCATGGTAATCTGCTGCTACTAGGTTTTGTTTATGGTGCCCGCATCTCCCACATTATGTTAGATTGAGTATTTTTAGCCAGAGATTTAACAAATAAGTTATATATTAAGAGGTATATATTAAAGTATAGTGAAGGTATATTGTTTCTTTGTTTCTTATGTTTTCATAATCTGAAGATTTTGTTCTAAAATGTGTCTCATTGCCTTCTAAAGGTATTCAGATCTGTTAAATTCTCCAACCTTGTCTAATATTAAAGGCTCAACCCTCAACCTATTTAAGTCTACTAACATTTTTTCAGTTTCTATAAACTTGATTGTAAAAAACAAAAACATGAAAAAAAACTTTTTTATTCACCCCCCTGACTTCAAACGTTCTGATTTGTCAGACTGTCAGAAGCCGGTCTCTAAACAGGTTCTGCTGAGACAGGAAGGTCCAGGATGCTGCAGCTGCTGCTGGAAGCTTGTTTCATGTAACAAGGTGACGGAGGCTTCTGGGTGCAAACCCCACATCCTGCCATTCTGGGTCCCTCAGTAGGACCCTTAGCTCCAGGCTGCTCCCTTATCAGGGTCAAATGCAGAGATCAACCTTCATACCAATGGATGCTCACTGTGACCATCCATCCATCCATTATCTGACACGCTTGTCCCAATTGGGGTCACGAGGGGTGCTGGTGCCTATCGCCAGCAGTCAATGGGCAAGAGGCGGGGTACGCTCGCTGTGACCAATAAGTATTTTTTCCTGATTGCATAGTTAACATTAATGATAGGGTTTGTCAGAGTTTGGTTGAGGTGTTGAGGTCCCAAATGCAGAGGCGGTGAGGCAGAGGTGAGTTCTTGTAGTTTTAATGGTGTTCTCAGCAGCTAACAAGGCAGTAATCCAAAAATCCAACACAAAAATGCGAAACAAAAAAGAACCATGGAGAAATCAGGGAAAAAATGCATGAGGAAACAGGGAAAGAAGGGGAAAGACGAGGAACCACTACTGAGGAACTGCACAGGGAGAGTATTTATGGGAACTGAACAAAGACAGGACTGATGAGCTGATTGGGAGCAGGTGTGAACAGATGTTTCTAGAAGGAACTAGGGAAAAGGATACCAACACCAGAGGGAAACAGAGGGTAAAGAAGAAAATCCTAAGAACTCAAATATATACAGAAAATACCAATAAAGCTAGAAAACAAAGAAAAACATTCTTCATAGTGAAACTAAAAACTCACAGAAAATTTAACAGAACCAAGACCGTGACAGGGTTAAATTATAATAATAACCCCTTATTGTCCTAGAAATGAAAACCAAACAAGTTTCTTTTCTGCATAAAAGGAGAAAGAGAACAGAAAGAGAATGAGACCCCTTAAAAAGTCTGTAGTCTGCTCTGCAAGAACCCCTCTTTTCTGCTGCTTTTATTATCGGACTTCAAAGGAATAACAGGAGAGGTCAGAAGTTACCTGGAGGGGGAAACAAAAAAAGTTCCAAAAAAACTTGAATAAAGATCATCTGTCAGGGTTCCTGTGTGTGGGTTAGTGCGAGTTGTGCATCTCTACTATAGAGGATCTTTGTGGAGAAATTGGGTAGCCTACACAGGTGAAAGTAATCTTTATAATAGTGCTGGGCTTAAAAGAGGACCAGACCCTTCATACAGTGCTGGTTTCTTGTGTGTGTTGTAGATATTTAGTTGCTTCCTAGTCTCTTGCTTCCCTCAAGTATTTTTTCCTGATGTTTATTGGTTTTGTTTGGTTTTCAGTATTTTTGTATTTTTGCCTCTGTTTCCCTTGGACTTACATTAAACTATCAAAACTCATCCGTGCCTACTCCTCTCTGCATTTGGGTCCTCAAATCCTCCATGCAACCTGACATAATTAGGTTTGCATTAAATGGTTGAAATGTATTTCTGGTTGCTCTGACAGCAGAGTTTAGTTATTATGCCTCTATTTGTCCTCCAGGAATCTGCAGTGCATGACTCAGCCACCGCAGGAGCCAAAAGCTCCCAGTAATGGAGTTTAATATCCTCCAATGATTTACCAAGAACGTTGGCATCTATACTATGTGAAGCAGGGAAAGAAGCAATGAGAGGTAAAATAATTTCATTCTAATGTCGTAAAAAAAAAAAAAGTTAGAACAAAAAAAGATCCAGGAATTAGAGGGAAAAATTATGTTACTAGAAAGCTTGCATGGTGAGGAAAAATTAGGTAAAATAAAACTAGAATTAAACAAATATATTGAAAGACAAAATAAATTTTTAATACAAAGACTCCAAATAGAAAACTTTGAACATAGCAATAAGTCAGGAAGTTTCTCAGCTAATTATCTAAAAATAAACATAGAAAAAATGACTATATTTGCAGTTACAGACTCAATTAGTAATATATTACAGGATCCGGAGGATATTAACAATGCCTTCCCAGATTTCTATAAATCTTTATACACATCACAGTTAAATCCATCAGATAATGATATCAAGCAATTTCTGGATAAAATAACTCTTCCTAAATTATCAGAGAGTGAAAGAGCGACCCTGGACTCACCGCTGTCTACAGCTGAAGTTCAGGAAGCATTAAAAAGCATGCCAAACAATAAAGCTCCAGGTCCAGACGGGTTCCCTACTGAGTTCTATAAAGAGTTCTGGAACATTCTCGCCCCAACGTTCCACAGAATGCTGCAGGAAACTATAGATAATGGCAAATTTCCGGTTAATATGAATTCTGCCACCATTAGTCTCCTGCTTAAACCAGGCAAAGATCCTATGTTTCCCACCAGCTATCGTCCCATATCCTTAATTAATATGGATATTAAAATAATCTGTAAAGTTTTAGCAAAACGATTAGATAAAGTCGCTCCTCTCATAATCCACCCAGATCAAACTGGTTTCATTGAAGAAGGTAGTCATCCACTAACAAATGCAGACTGCTGAATTTAATAGATTATCCCTACAGTAAATATATTAAATACTACATATTGTCTTTAGATGCAGAAAAAGCATTCGATAGAGTAAACTGGACATTTTTATTTGCTACTCTACATAAATTTGGTTTTGGCAATTCCTTTATAAATTGGTTAAAAATATTCTCCAGCTTCCCAACAGCCTGTGTCAGGACAAATAATCCAACATCTTCCAGCTTTTCTCCAGAGGGGCACCAGACAGGGATGCCCGCTCTCCCCCTCACTTTTTACCATTTTCATTGAGCCTCTAGCTGCTACAATCAGACAAACTAATGTTACTTTATCTCCAGCACTCAAACACTTGCCTCTCTCAAGTAATTAGATTACTAGTCTTTCTCAAAAGTCTTAGATTACTCTATAATTTCGTCTAAATTTATAGTACTACCAATTAATTGCTCTCTACAGAATCCCTTAGGTCTATAAGTGCAATCAGGAAATATCAAATATTTGGGAATTACTGTATCATCTAAACTAGCTGAGTTACCAAAACTCAGTTGATCTCTGCATTTGACCTTGATGAGCTCAAAACCTTTTAAAAAAGATACTAGTGTCATGATGGGTGGTTGTTTCCAGCCCAAATGCAGAACACAAAGGAGTCTGTAGAAAGGTTAAACAGTTTATTTATAAACACAGGGCTAAGATCAGATTCTGGAAACAGATACGGAGCGGGTCACACAGGATTCACTGATCTGTGGTTCAAGCTGAGCGTCAGAGGGAGGGAACCAGAAGGATCCAGAGACAGAGGATCGGCAGAGGGCTAGGCAGCGGCAGGGCTTGACTTCTGACTTGTTGGTGTCCAGTCCTTGAGTTTCTCTCCTTGAGAACAGGCAGGCTGGTTCAGACAGTTTGATTCTCAGGTTTGGCTTCTGAGAGCAGGCAGGCAGGTTTTCTGATGATGAGTTCTTCCAGAGCTCCAGGTTACAATCAAGTCTTCCTAGGAGAAAGAGAGGACAAGAACTGATTAGGTTCAGGTTCAGGGTTTCAGGAGAGTCAGAGGATCTGACAGGTTGGTTGGCTCAGGTTTGCTAACCGTGACTGATCTAACACTAACAGCACCGAAGAGAAGTTCAGCCGCTGCTTATAAG